ATATCTAGTTGCCACGTCTATCAACACCAAAGTGTGTAAATATATTTTTCCTCTTTTCTGATCATCGTGGACATGGGGGAGTAGGTCACATTGATGTAATTTATTAGGAATTCGGCATTTAGAAAAGCTAGCCTGGGCCTTAATCTTTGGTGGGTGTCGATATATCTGGTAATCATACTGATTCTCTAACCAGTTTGTGATATCTTTAAGTCGAAAATGAGTATATCCTTCTTTTATACATATTTTTCGTATTTTTCTAGGATTGGAATAAAAGCCGGGCACATTATAGTAGATCATACGAAAAACAATTTGCAATTCCTCATTAGGGTCTATAATAATAGTAGGTTCACTCATATACAAAAGACTAATTTTTTGATTCTTGTTTATTATGTTATAAAATACTGCAATGACACCAGAAATTAGCACAAATAGACTAGCTCAAGCTGAAGATAGTTTGCAGATAATAAAAAATCGATTTTGTAAATTACAGCAGGATCTAGCCTTAAAAGAAGATTATATTAAATATCTCGAAAAAGAAATTTTGATTCGAGATGGGGATTTGGATCCATTGTGACAAGAAATTTCTAATCTCAAAGAACGGTTAGAAAAGGCACTTCAAGATTCTAAAAGCCGAGAGAATTATATAGATTTTTTGGAAAAACGGTTAGTAAATTTTCAGGATGAAATAGACAAGCTTAATGAAAAAATAAAAATACTTATTTTATATAAAAATGGCAATGATAATATAGATAGATTCGAAGAAGAGACAGAGTCTCGAATTTCCAATTCATCATTGCTTTGCAATATGGCTCAACAACCAGAATCGCCCAGATTATCTTTACCCGAAAATCAAGCTACGATTCAGAATCATAGAATTCAGCGAGAGGTTGATAATATTAGACGGTATTTTCAAAGCCCAACTACAATAACACCTACATTAAATGATATTGTAAATTATCTTAACATATTCTCTGATGCTGGTAATAGGCTTGAACGATTGGTACTAGAAATATACCCACGGGCAAATGCTCGTGCAATTAATGCTGAAAACCGAGTAGCAGATTTGCAAACCCAGCTAACAAATTTGCAAACCCAGTTAGCTAATTCACAAACCCAGTTAGACACACTTCAAAATGACTATGATCTTCTTCATCAGGCTTATGAGGCCCACAGAATGCAACATAGTATATTTAAATCTCAAGAACTTGATGGTCGAATTACAATCCGTATGCAAAAAAGACAAATATCAAAATTGCTTCTAGAAAAATTTACATTGAGATTCAAGAATAGACGAATCCAACGGCAACTACAAGAATGTAAGACGGATGGAGCAATTACTACACATCTCTTAAATCTTACAACAAATCGATACAATAAGTGGAAAAATAAATGCAAGACTCTAGAAAATGATCTATTACTTGCCGATGTTCAACTGAACAACAAGTGGGGTAAGTGGAAAACTCGGGCACGAAATTCTGAGCAATTAATTTTGAATTTAAATCAACAAATTTTTACGCTACAGAATAATTTACCTATAAATATACAAGCAAATATGGCATTACAACCATTACCACTACCAAATTTTTCAGGTGAATATGATGAGGATATTGATATTTTTATTAGTCGATTATCGTCATATTTAGCTGGCACTGGTATAGACCCAGTTGCCAATCGGGATCAAGCATTTGGTATTCTTAGAGGGTGTCTACATGGGCGAGCATTAGAATGGTTTGATCGAAAAATTCTTGATAAACAATGGGAACTTCACAATATTTTTGCAAATCATGGCCAGGCTGGTATGGGTGCTCTTCGGGAACGCACTATGGCACAGATGAATACTAGTAATAGCTTTAGAATTCTTCTATTGCTCATGACTATGCAAATATTGCTGGTAATAATGCAGTAACCGTAGGTGTTTCCATGATTCCAGCTGAAGCTTTTATTGAAGATTGGCGCTTAGCTGGAGGACGTCTATCGGATAGACCTGCCAATGCTGTTAATGCAGGTAATGCTAATCCTATAGTATTTGGTGACATTAAGATTGGTCAAGCATTATATTGGCTCAGAAATGAATATCCTACAGTAATAAGTAAAAAGTGCAATTTAGTTTATGGATCATTAGCTCAGGGGGGTGAACCTATAGGAGACTTTTACTCAAAACTCTTAAAATATGGAAAAATGCTTAATCTTGATGAGCAACAGATTAAGGGACAATTTCTAAGAGGTTTGTCTCCAGACTTGGAGGATGATGCTAAACGCATTGGTACTGAGCAACCATTAGCTGATCTTTTTAAAATTTTAGAGCGAATTGAAATGCGAAGAGCAGAGAAAAAATTAAGATTAGTTAATAAAATACCCAGTCTAGTTATAAATTGTCATCTAAATTAATAACACCTACACAATCCTAATCCGTTTCTTCACAATCAGCTCCTCAGCAAATATAGCCATCACAACCATTGCAGATACCTCAACCTTATTATGGACCACAACCTCCTGGCACATATCAAAAAATGCAAGATATATTAATAGACAGATTTGTACAATGGATTACTGGGGAGGTTTCAGAATTTGTTCCTATCTCCAAGCCTGATTTGCCTCCAAAACCAGTAATAAAGAAAGTTGAAGTTGACTCCGATGATGAATTGGCCAATCTTACAAAGAAGCAGTTGAAGTTGCACGTAGCTAGGGCTGTTAAAAAAGCTACGAAAGCACAACACCGTTGCTCAAACTGTAATAGGACTGGACATAATTCTCGCAAGTGTCCGAGAAATAAAAAGAAAAGTAGGTCCAAAAAGAAAGGTAATATTAATAAGGTTACTCTAGATTCAAGCTCAGATACTAACAATTCTTTTGGTAGCGATTCTGGATCTGATTCCTCCGATAATGAATCCGAGTCTGAGGAGTCTTCATCTGAAGTTGAAAGTATAAATGTTAACATTAGCAAGATAAAAAAAAAGTAAAGAAATCTGGCTCACGAAATAAGGATGCTTACGTACCTAAATTATCCTCTAAGAAGAAATCTAGTCCAAAAAAATGTACTTCACAAAAGAAATCAGATACAATTATTGACTTACAAATTCGAAAAATTATTCTAGCTATGTTTAATGATCCAGAGGTTATAGAAACAATTAAAAACAATATTAATAATCTGAATTTATCTATAACTCGAAGAGTCGCCCCTAAAGGGCTTGCAAAACCTGACTTTATAAATTATCGAGAGCCGGCTCCAGAAATACCCGAATCAGATGGTAAAGAGGAGACATTGAATGATCCTATGGAGATAGATTTTGTTCGAAGAAAGGAACCTACCACAAGCCTTGCAACTATACCAGTTAAAATCAAACGCTTAAAAATTCCAGCATTAGTACTAGATAGTGGGGCTGAGCTTCCAATTATATCAGAAGACATTGTCAAACGAGTAGGTTGGAAAATTGATAAATTGGTAAAGTATGATCTTAGTGGTGTTGCTACTGTTCCAACAGAATCTATCGGTGTTGCTCGTAATTTCCCAATAATATTACCTCTAGGTTTTACTATAAATGAAGATTTTGCAGTTGTACGTGTCCCTAAACCAACATTGATATTTCCAAACCCACTTCTCAAGAAATATAAATGTGCTATAGATTGGGGTAAAGATGAGTTGAAAATTCCTTTTAATGGAAAGGATCACATTATTCCAGTTACTATGCACAAGGTAAAAAATAATCTCGAAGTAAATTGCGCTACTACATCTCAGAATGATAGGGACGAAGTCTCATTGCTTTGCAATAAGACTTTGGTATCTGATCAAATTTCTCAAGAGGTGGATAGTAATGAGAGTGATAATGGTCCATTGGAGGAATGGCATGCTCCTGCGGGTTTTAGCCTAGATTCGACTTTAAAAAAAAACGCATGAGCTATGAGGAGTTAGAAAAATCGCTATATGAGGTACTCGAATCCAATACCAAATTAATCAAGCTTAATAAAAAACTACGGACCTATAGAAATGAGTCTGATATTGAAATAGTATGTAGATTATTGCCCAGCAATGGCCCTTTGGGTCTACAAACTACTCTAGAAAAAACAAAAGTAGATTAGTTGGAATCTAAGACTCTTTTCATCTCACGTTTAGCTTCTTCTCTTTCTTTGCGATTTTGTGCAAGCCTAGCTTGTAAATCATCCATTTTAACTACTTTTTTTATCGGAATATTTACTGAATCAGATACCCAAACAGATCTAGAACTGGATCCTGGTTTTCTTTTCTTTGACTTTCTATCTGAAGTATTATTTTCAGATATTATTTCAGAAGAAACAACACTATGTATTAGTTGCTGTTTGCGCAAAGGTATGCCTTCAGCATGTTTTTTCCAAATTTCATATATTCTACGAGTTGAAGTACTATATTTATAAGCCATTTCCCTGCATGCATTTTTAACCGTCCCTCGAGATTGAATGATT